GAACCTTTAGAACTCTCAGAACTCTCAGAATTCCCAGAACCCATACTTTTTAATAACCTTTTATCAAATGCAATAATACAAAAGCAATTATATACTAATCTTCAAAAGAATAAGGCCGATTTATATGAATACAATAAGTTGTTAAGAGCAGCCACATCACTTGAATTTCGTTCACAATTCACATCAAAAATTAAAAAACTTGACGAGACAGTTGCGTTAGAAGAAAGAAAGCTTAAGAAGTTGAAGGGTAATGCAAAAGCTTAACAACGAACTCAAAATAAAAAATGAGAAAAATTGGATAAAGAGAATATTGTTGAAATATATGATGCATCAGGTTAGCCATCATTCTTGATAAATGATTCTGAACTTTTGGATAAAATGCATGGTAGTGTCAAATTTGGAGTCACAAATTATAAAAGATGAAAGGAGACAATTAAAGTTCAAATCATCAAACACTTTCATGAAAAGATGGAAGAGAAATACAGTGTCTATATGGCAAAGTCTACTGTGTAAAACTATATACAACCTAGAAATCCAGGAACGAGAGAAGCATATGACATCATCATCCAATACAAATCAGTTTGGCATCCGTTAGGAGAAATAAGATGTTCAGTCACATTGATGAATATTATTATTTGGCTCAGTTAAGGGTATAAAATCATTCACGTCAGCTTTTTCTAAAGAAGTTGTATTGATCTCGCAAGATGATAAAGCCAAAGTATTTGTTTATTTATTTGCAATCTTTTCTTTAATATAAGCTTCCATTTTTAATTTCGGATTTTGAGGTTTCTCTTGATATGGCTGCAGTTAGAAAAACTTTTAAAACTATACAAATAACAAACGAACTAGTGTCGGTTCCTGACTATGATTTTTCAAAGGCTGCGAAACATAAATTGATACCATCTGTATATTTAATAATTTACCCTTCTAATACGAATAGTTCATTGCGTTCTGGTAAAATGAGAATATTTATTCGTCCTGAACATTTTTTGGACACATTATGCGGGATACATATGGTAGACCTTATGTTAATTATAAAGGAAGAATCCTTTCATAAATTTACATATTACAAAGGCTCTGTAAAACTATTTTAGTGCTTATTAGCAGATAGTAGATCAAATGAGAATTCCCAGTTCATTGCAAATATCTCAAAATACTTATTGCTTTTTAAAAAACTTGACTTATACTATACTACCTTACAATTCGAACACATGCTCTAAGGCAATTTGCATATAATCCAGTTGAGCAGAGTATAGCATCGCTTTCCAGAAAGTTAGTAGGTATCGAGTTAAATGCATTTACATATGGTAACCACCTTAAAAGTGTTAATGGAAAGTTACTGTTGTGAATGAGAATATTGGACATCATAATTTTAGACATGCGAGCGAGCGTCTTTATGAACTTTGAGATCATGACAATATTTATAGTTATCCAGTTATTGCAATATACGTTAAGGAGCATGATCAATCAGATTTTTTAGATATAAATGAAGAATTATGGGATTGGATTGACAGACACAGCCAAATTTGCAAGTACTCTCTTGATTTAAGAAAGTGTAATAATAGGAATTATTGCAAACAACCATATGCGTCTGAAATCTATGATCTTTTATCAACAAACAATGGTTTTTTACCACCTATTATATAAGGCCTTGATGGTCATTTTTTGAGTCTGGTTTACACTTTAGAATATTTTAATAAAAAGTTATCAGGCTATGATGAACATTGTACTAGTATTACCCTAGATTCATATGATAGTTTTGTATGCTAAAAATACCGTAAATATTTTCCAATAAAAATATTTTTAAAGCAGCATATTAAAGTATTCCATTTAAGTGGGAGCGTAACAAATGTCAGGATTGAAGAATCTAAATTACAAGATGATGAATTGGGTATAGAATATACAAAAAAACTTATACAAGAGAAAAAGTTATAATAAATGATGATTTACAAGATTTATTATTCCAACAGGAAAAAATTGCAAAGAAGAGTAAAGGAAAAGAAAGGAAATCATAACAGTAGTATTCAAAAGCGAAACTATGGCAACAGGATCATCTCACATTTAAAATTTAATACTATATAATATTTTTTTATTTTTTGAATAAATTAGGAATAATCTCAAGTTTTAATTTTTTTTTCACACTAAAGCTTCACAATAGTTAAAATTTTAAATTTAATCATTTATTTAAACTTTTTAATCATTTTCATATAATATACTATTATAATATAATAAAAATTAACTATTAAATCAGATTTTATCAATTTTGATCACATGATTATTTGATTTCCTTAAATGGAAATGATGACACTGGAGGAGCCAAAATCTTAAAATTTTAAATGACGTTATTTCTGGCCCTCCCCTAATCATCTATATTTAATATTATTGCATTCTCTACGTATTCAGCAAGTGTAGAATTAACGGAATTAGCATGTTCTTTAGATATAGTTATTTTATACTGAGAGACTGTGCACAATGATATAATTATACCTAGATCAGCAAAAATATCTATGGAAGTGTTAGAAGCACCTGTAGAATCTAAATATATGGTTAATCCTCTTTGCGTTATTGACGAACTTATTTCAGAGAAAATAGCAAACAAATAATAGTTGCTTTTTTGCTCGTGCTTGTGAATCTCTATTTTTTGAAGAAGGATTAGATGATAAATACGATTCATCAAAAAAGGACTTTAAATTTGTGTTCTTTTCTTCCATAACTTTGCGAAACTCATTATATAAATATAAAGTTGATTCCTTTTCCCTATTTTTACAAGTATATAAGATATTAGTCATTATTTTTACTGCTTTAGAGAAGGATAAAATAGAAGGTGAGGTGACTGAGGCAGAAGTGTAGGTGGAGATAAAAATGGAGGTGGGAGTGGAATTGGAGTTAAAATTGGAAACAGAGGTAAAGCTTTCAGAGCATGTTGTTGGAATGCAAGTGAACCATTTATCACAATTCCATTATAACAGTTTAAACAGATTATATCTCCTATTTGTATATAACTTGGCAAAGTTTTGTTAGTTTGACCTTTTGCAATAACATATTGACTGTTGGCTTTGGCATATTGTAATTATATATTAATACTTGCCTTCTAAGTAAAGTACCTTTAGAATTGGGATTATTTTGGGATTATTTTGCACAGTGAATGTTAACACACTTTCGAAGCTATAAGAAAAAATTTTTTTCATTTTTTATATGTAAAACGTTACATTCTCAAAAAGTACTCTAAACTGTATAAATTCAATTGAAATCGATCGACCAATCACGTGAAAGTCCTCCAATGATCACTCGGTAAGTTAGAACCATTTCACGTAGAGTATGGTCGACCAAATGAGTATAGTATATCACAACTTTCTGTATCACTCTGAAATTTCTTATCATTTACTCTCCACTGGTTTATATTAACGTTAAGTATCATTGATGTAATTATAAAAAAAGAATTTATTTTAACTGTACTATGAATATGTATCTTTAAAATTCTGATTATTTCACTCGGATTTATGTTAAAACGTTAAATCTTATAGCTTTTTATTAATTAAAAAAAATAATTATAATGTAAAAATAATCTATATACGCATTAAAAATAAAATTTTGTGTTAGTTAAAATTCTTGAAGTTGATATATTTCTTTATTGTAAATATAGGAAATATAATTGGCTTCTTGTTCTTCATTCCGCTTGGAATTCTTGCACAATATCCATCTGCTTTTAGTTTTATTATAATGTATGTAAATTGCTTCTTCTACAAGACAATGTGATAAAAATTAATTTTGTAAGATAGCAATAAAGGCATGAAGTAGGTGATAGAAAAGAATAATTATTCCACCGGTGTATACGTCAACACAATGCAATATAGAAATACAATAAATGCAACTATTACTGCCTCTGCTGGCACTCTGTAATAGGCCCAAAGAGAAAAGAAAACTATCTAATTCTATCTAAAAGCAAGACGAAAAACTCTTCTTTTTATAATAATTCTCTTCCCATGGCTTAGTTATAGAATTCTTGGCAGGATTACTAATTATTGCGGCTTGACTGACGATAATGCTTATTGATCGCTTCATGTCAAAAATTGTCATTTTGACATATAAATTCCATCATCCCGAGGAGTCCGAACTTGCGTAAAGATCCGAAATATCAGATATGCAGCAAATTGGTCGGCGATCCAAATTCAGGCGCAGTCAATTTCTGAGTGACAATACATTACACACATCCCACACTAATATATATGTAAAAAATAAATGCCCAATGACAGAGATAGAGACAGTATTTCGTGAACATTCGACTCAACAAATAAACCTCCATTTTTTTGCAATCCATATTGACTTATTCTGTAAGTTCCGAAATAATTGAGACACATTAGTCTATAATCATCTGATGGATTCCCATTCTTAAAACAAAGACCATCAAACATTATCTTCAGAGAAGACATTATTTTCCTCCAATCGATGATAATGGTGATGGTGATGGTGATGGTGTTAATGATGAGAATATTTTGATGTTAATAATGCGTTTATTGAATGTTTATGCAATTCCAAAATCCATTTTGCCGAGAGATTATGTAATTCTGAAATTTTTGTTTCATTTGGTTTGTTAATTTGTTTTTTAGTTTGTTGGTTGATTTGTTGTGATCCTTCTGGTGAATCTATTAACACCGAGCATGGCGGAGGCGAGCTTGCTGATGGCATAATACATCCGTCTTTGTGTTGTTTCTTTTAAGGATGCAGACCTTACTTTCTTAAAAGTATATAATTTGATACGTCACGTCAGATACGTCACGCCACAATCATATATAACAAAGTAAAAGTCTGCATCACTAGTTTCTTTATTGAAATTTGTTCTTCTTCCAAATTTCGTCTTTTCCTTAAAAAAATTTTCAACTTAATATAAGTAAAATAAACATGCAAATCAGAAAAATAAATAAATAATTTCAATTCCATACCATTGTGTTATCACGGAGGTATTGACATTTGCAATGGAAGTTTTAAAAGAATTTGTGGTGTCATGCATTATGGAACAAGAAGCTTCCTTCTGTAGTTGTAAAAAAAATAATGAGCTTGAGTTTGTTTAGGCAGAATAGAATAATTTGTTAAATAAAAAACTCACCTCGGCAAGGTGTCTCTTTTGATTTTCTGTCAAAACTCATCAACTTGAAACTTTTACGATGTCCCTATATAGTTGAACTGAATTAATAAACCGTTTCAAGGCGTATGATTGAAGAAAAAAGGTTGGAGGCAGCACAACGGACTTTCCGTTCCGTAATGTGGGCCAACTTTCCGATTGTCACCGTAGTTGTGTTTCCTTCCCACAAGATCATTGATAATAACCTCAACATGCAGTACTCTTATGCAAGTAAGTTATCGTTCTTCAAAACCTTGCATGCAACTCCCTGCCATCCAGAATGAAAATGATGGAAAAAAAATGGATAACTTCACCTTGCAAGCATCGTCCAACTTACTAGCGCTTGTTTTCATTTCGTCTGCTTCAGACTAGCAAGATCCATTTTCAATTTATACGACTCTTTTTTTTGAAGACGGAGGTGGTTTTGATCAGTACTCGTAAAAACCTAAAAAAAAATGTAATCTTCTGGTTGTGCTGTGTCAAAATAAATATTCCATAGCGCGGATTCTTCTGACAGTTAAAAGTGTGTATGAACATTCGTCAACGCGTATAATATGCGCAGTGAAATTAGGTACTCACATAACCCTAAAATTTATAAATAAATTTTCACCCCACGTGACCGGTGACATTTAATGGGGACTTCGATCTTAAACATTGGTTCAAATGATTATTATCCACGCGTTTTAACTAAAATAAGTATTTTTTTTTGGTTTATAATAATAAAATTTTGTACTCTTTTTCGATTTATTAAATACAATTTTATAAATTTTTTCGATCTAAACTACAGTTTACCACGGTCCATTGGACCACATGAAACCGGACCGAACATCTCTAGTAAAAATGAAAACAGACGTCACAAATCGTCATATCATGAGAACGTCAGAATTAAACCGTGTGATCTACCTCTATGGAAATTGGTCATTTTTTGTTAAAATACCCAAATCGCGTATAAGAAAGGTTTTAGGCGCGAGAGAGCACAACTGTTACTCGGCAGGTATAAGGATGTATGTAATTACAGGCAGGAATTGGTGGTACAACGTCTGTTATCAAGGCGGTATTGGGGCATAGATGACTTACTAGGTCGTCTGATGTTCAGGGCTATTAGCCGACCTTGCACCCGGCCCCGCTGGGATGCAGCCGACTTACTACGTCGATCTGACGCTCAAGGCTACTAGCTGACCCAGCGGATGGGAAATATTAATCAAGTATATTGTTTTTACGTTAGGGTACTCGGCCAGACCGTCAACTGGCAAGAAAATGGAAGACCGAACGGGCACTTAAGCAGGTCCATTATTATCAACCAAAATTTCACAGGTATAAATGGAGATATAAACGGGACTATTACTGCTGAAAATCTTGTTGCTGGAGTGCCCGAAAGGAATATATCAAAGAAAAGAAACCAAGGTAGCCAAAAATATCAAGAACAGGCAAGTCCTTAAGGCATGCTCAATTTTATGTCTATGTAAGACTCTTCTTAATCTCTTCTTCTCATCGCTCCAGAATGCTCGTAAACGAAATAAATTAATAAGCATAAGCAAGGATCATATTAATGATAGTCAAGAACAAACGTCAACAAATGATGATGAATCTGCAATTGAAGATATTGAGGTATTGCTTTTATCGTATATTTATGCTTCGTAAACTAAGTTGAATTTCCGTACTGACATATCATATGCGTTGTGATCTAGTTGAATTTAGCAAATGCTGATACTCCCGATTATGAGACAACAACTCGAAAATGTTCAAGTGACGAAATGGGCGAATCAAGCGTAATTATCTTTATTAAGGATTTATGTCGAGATAACCTTGTATAACCTTGTTAAATTTTTTCGCTCTATAGTGATTCTAATGAAACAATAGAAATTAAATATGATGATTTAGAAGAATTAGAACAGCAAATAACATTAAGTTCATTAAATGAGGTATATAGAACTTTCGATTCTGTTTACTGTACATAAGCTATGTTTTTGAATATTATTTTTACGTTTTAGTGGGAAGTAGGCACGGTTAACGTGTCAAGAAAATTTAAAGCGCATCAAAGACAATTAGTAACAAGTGTTAGGCAGAAAAAAACAAAATTGACATGGAACAATACATTCGAACTATTGCAAGTACTCCAAAAATATCTGTTACGTTTACTTATGAGGATGTACTGAAATTAATTTCTCTATTATAATTTAGAGCCCTATCATCAATAATTGTAATGTGCTGGTCTTGTCTCTATTCTACATTACAAGTTCCGAATGGCGACAAGTTATTAACTCGAATCCATATAAAACTACACTACCCATTTTAACAGATTCACTTCTATAAACAGTGTTGGATTTGGTGTCCAATTGGACATATATAAGTTTATATGTCCATTTAGATAAATGTCCAACACTGTCTATAAGCAACAAACGATTTTTCACTCGGATTGAATTATCTTAATGATGATAGTGAATTAGATGAAAAGCTAGACGCATATTTAACTACATGTAAGCTATTATATTACAGAAAATTATCAAAAAACAAAGGAATTATCTATTGGGTATTAATAAATTTTATTATCTTTTCTCTTAGTAAAACAGAGAACAAACACTGTGTTTATTATCTAGATCCATTTATAAAATTTTTGGCGGAGAATACACTCTGGAATTAAATAAATTTGTAAATGGAAAATAAAGACCAGATTTTAGCAGTGTATCGCGATACTAAATTCAGCCTTTGCGGTACAATTTAGTATAAGAAAGATCAAGATTTTGTAAAGTACATCTTAAAGGAAAGAAATCAATTAACCAATTATTAGGAAAAAGGGGAACCTAACAAATAATGGCTTTTTTAAACATGTAATATATGGGAGGGTTGCTAGGAAAATGGGGCTCAGAATTTTTTATTAAAATTTTAATTTTATTGCATTTAATTTCTGATAAAGTTAGATTAAAATGCAATAAACATTCAAATTTTAATAAAAATGCTTAGAGCCATATTTTTCTAACAACCTCCCATATAATAATTATATACTTGCTGTCTTTATAATGTTTTATTTATAAAGTTCATTTGATAATATAGGAGATGTCTTTGTTATTGACTTAGCATATGGGTGATTTATTAAATCATCTTATAGAACATCATAAATCATATGATTGTAAGGTAATTTTCACTTTTATAATAATGTATACGGATTATAGCCATATTTTAAAACAAATTATTAAGCAATATGTTAGTAATTATAAATGATTATGAAATTATTTACCAACTAAACAGGTTGAAAATATGAAGTTTATTAGGAAAATAACAATTATTTCACAGATTATTTAATAAGGTTTTACTTAATATTGCTTTGTTTCTTATGAAATAATTATTATTTGATTCCTCACAACTATATAGATCTAATAAATTTGATTCATCAATTTTAGATTAGTTAATCTTAAAATAATCAAAATTAAATTATCAGCTAAAATTATAATTTAATAAATTTTATTTAAAGGATTCTGATTTTAAAATTCAATTGTAAATATCTTGTAAATAATTAATATATGTTAGCTCATTAGATTTATCTATTTATAAGAAATTAAATAGTAGTTATTTTACGAGAAACAAAGTAATCTTAATCAAGATTATTCATTTTTTTAACATAAACAATTGTAATATAATATATTTTACCTATTTTAATAAATAACATTTTAAAAAAATAAATAAATCTTACTTTATAAATTATAAGTAACATTTTAAAAAAAAATGTATAAAATCTTACTTTGTAATTATTAATTACAAAAGTCTTATCACAGAATTTCAATTACATTTTTAAATTATTAAGTAAACTTATTTTATAAAGTCTTAAAATATCTTTTTAAATTTAAAAATAATAATAAATAGGATTTTATTCATCATAAATAATTAATATATGTTCTTCTTTTCTAAGTTAATAGAAGTAAAACTTTTTATATTGTCATCTTTATATATTATCATATATTTTTTCAATTCAATCATTTTTAATAAAAATAATTTTTGATATTTTATCATATCCATTATAATATATTTCTTATTTTTATTATTGATAATAATATTTAAGTATATTTAATTACTATCTTTAAATATTTAAACTAATTATATTTTTATTGATATCTGCTTTGGATAATAATATGAAAGGTTTATGATTAAATCTCATATATAGATTATATGATTTACTAGATTTACTATATTTTTTAATATTATTTTAATAATAAATAATCTATATAAAGCTTTGTAATAGAAAGTGATGAAACTGTTAAAAAAATAATTAATCAATTTTATTTTTATATGTTAAATATAATTATTAGATTAAAATATATTTAATTTAGTATTATCTTAATTTTTATTTTTCTAGCAGTTTTCTCTTTCTATTACAAAGATTTTATAAGTCTTAAACAAATTTCTTAAATTGATATAAAGTTATATAGTTTAAATCCATTTATATATATTATAATAATATCTTTATCATCAATAATCTAACTGATTTCTAAGATAAAATATAGGTAAAGTATTATAAATACACAATATTTTTCTGTCTTCTAAATTTAAATAACTGTTAATTTACTATTACTATTATATACTATATTACTATATACTTGCCTTCATTTTTTTCTTTTTTTAATAATATTTAAAATATCCAAATATACTTTTTTAACATATTTTTTTGTCAACATTCTATTAAGTTTTTTTTAAATTCTTTTTTAAACTTTAAATCATATCTTATATAAAGGTTTAATAAAATATCTTAAGAATCTTCCCTATAAGAAATCGAAATAAGGAAATGATACGTTTTTTATAAGGTTTGTATACGTAATTGATGATTCCGTATCAT